TTTGGGTGTTTTCTCGTTACACAACGTGCCTGTATAGTAGATATTAAAAATAGTCTGCCTGTCTAGTGCAAGGAGCGAGTAGAGGAATCGGACTACAGTTTTGCAGATACCTCCTGAGAGGAGCTCCCAGCAGCACTGTCATTGCAACATGTAGAAATCCAGGCGGCGCCACAGAACTACAGGCACTGCAGGCGAGTTTGTAATGTTTAAATCTACCATGTCTACCAGACCAAGGACTTTTACAAAGACTGAGATGATTGTTGTTGTCCTTGCATATAAGGGTCTGTTATGCTAGACCAAAATATTAAATTTATTGTTCCTGGCTAGAACTTTAATAGAAGTAGTGATTTTGATGGGCCTCATAGCAGCTTTCTGTAGTACTGCAGCAAAATAATAGCCTCCCGTGCAGACTACTAAATGATAATCATCATCATCATCATCGGTCGGCTGCAACGCAGGCGATCACAAGTCCATTCCACGACCGCCGGTCAGCAGCCAGCGCAGCAATGTTGTCAGGGCTCAGGTCACCTTCCGTGTCCCCCAGCAGGTTCTGGATGTAAGTCAGGTAGCTCATCCTCTGGCGCCCAGGACGCCTTCTGCCGTGAGGTGGGACGTAGAGGGCGTAAGACCTGAGTGGCTCCTCTACTGGCATCCTCAGGGCATGTCCAATAAAGCGCAGTTGCCGCTGCCTCACTCTGAAGATCAGAGGTTGTGTGTTTGTGGCTTTGTATAGTTCACAGTTGCTTACGTGGTCTATACGTTTGATGTTCAGCATGATTCTGAGGCAAGATGTAGCAAATGAGTTAATCTTGTCCTCCATGTCACGTGTTAGCACCCAGGTTTCGCAACCGTACAAGAACACCGACACACAGGTTACATTAAAGAGCTTGATCTTTGTGGCAGTGGGGAACGTCGGATTTCTCCAGATCTTTTGAAGTTTCCAGAAAGCGGTCCAAGCGAGTGCCTTCCGCCTGGCCAGGTCGGTCTTACTGGATGCCATCATTGATCCTAGATATCTGAAGTCTGTTACATGTTTGATGGGCTGACCATACACTTCCAGTGGCGGCTGTGGGTTGCAGTTGATGGTCATGTATTCGGTCTTAGGAACACTTATGACAAGACCTAGTTGTTCTCCTGCAGTAGCCGTTCTATTGAGTTGTGATTGCGCCTTAGGTATTGATGCCTCAAGCAGAGCGATGTCATCAGCGAAATTTAGATCGTTTAAGATTTTGGCTGGGTGCCTACTTGACTGGCGAGGGTGTGTAACTACACCAGAGCAAGTATCCTCAATGGATTTCTTCATCAGATAGTCCACAAGTATGATGAACAGGAAGGGGGCAAGGACATCCCCTTGTAACACCCCTGTGGTGACTTGGAATGGTTTTGTAATGTTGTCATCCACCATAACAGCACTTTTTGAGTTGTTGTAGAGTACTAAATGATAATATCTTGTGTGCACACTTCAATACGTCATCATCATCATTTCGAAGATAAAACTAACACAAACTTACTACACAATACATGCCCATCAGGCAGAGTTTCCAAGCAACCTGCACATCCTGCCTCTTGATGTCACTGATGAGGGCTCCATCCAGCAGGCAGCCAATCAGGTGCAGCAGCAGCATGGAGGAGGACTAGACCTGCTGATCAACTGTGCCGGCATCCTCCATCCCAGTGGCAGGGGGGAAACCAGCCTCCGGGACGTCTCTTCTCAGGTGTTTATAAATTTTATATGTAAAATATTTGTTGATTTATTTTTGTGTCATTTAGCCAGGTGGCCCATCTCAACGACTTAACAGTGGAACCCTCCAGAAAACAGACATTTCCTACTTTTCCCTTTGCTTTTGTGTACCCAAAGTCAACTTATTTTCTTGAGCTTGGAAGATTCATCGCCTAT